GATGGGGAGGGGGGGGGGGGCAACCAGGGCACAGGAAACAAAAGAATGTTTTGAAAGGAGCGGGGAGAGTAAAGAGCAGAGAGGCACGACGGCCCCACACAAATCAAAGCTCAACGCTTATTAGCTTTCTCGCTGTGGAAATGGAAAGAAAGCAGCCAATGTTCAGAGTTTTTGTATCTTATCCTTGGATTCTTGAGGATGCATTTTCTTGAATTTAAGCATATCATATGGGGGGGGGGGGGTCTTCAGGTGTCAAGCCTGTGGTTGGTGTTGACACTCTTTTGGACTACAGGAAGGAAAAGAAGAAAGGAAAGAAAACGGGGTTTATCCAGATTTTCATCACCCAAATTACTTTCAGGATCACTTTACAGTGGGACAGTGTCGAATCCCAATCTGACAAAGCTAATTGTTTTTTTTTTTTTTTTTTACTTCCTTGAGTCTCCCTAAAGGTGCCTTAGAGACTCACCCTTTTCTTTTCAATGAAATTGTGCGGTCGTGTGAATGTGTGCATGGAAGGGCTTCTTTTTGAACTGACCTGCGTGTCTCAAGAGCCCTGATAGGTCTCCTGGAAGCGAGCCGTCTCTTCAAATATGAGTTCCTTCAGCTTCTCCTTGGGAAGGTCATCCAACTCCATGGTGAAAGTGAAGGGCTCCTCCGCCACCGGCTACAAAGATCGACACCAACAGGCGTGGAATGCGTCAAACAGAAGTCTCAATGACGTGCAATAGAATGAGGTCTATTATGGTTTGGTGAGTCTGAACAAAGACATGAACCTAACACGACAAAGAGTCTTTCGATTTTCATAGGCTTGCAGTTCTAATTGGCGTGGTGCAGTGCTGACATTTGTATTGGCACGGTACAGCAACATTTATGCTAATTGCAATGAAAAAAAAAAGGAATGAAGAACACTCACATTCAAACTTGCATGACTTGAAATGAAGACAAACACTTGCGAAGTCAACAGGAGGACCATAACAGTTAGGGACAATTGATTCAGCACTTAATGAAGAACTGTTGACTGCTCCGAACTGATTGTTCTCCATTGTGGATTATTAACTTTGCATCGCTTTTGCATTCTAACGATTATATAATATCACACATGTGAGATGCGGGTGTCATTTTTGTCCACTAGGGGGGGGTCGCCATCCTCACATTCTATATAATATTTATAACTATGAGTGTGTCTAGCTTTGAAAGGCAGGGTTTGGCCTCATGAGTGACGTGTGTATCAGCGAATGAAAGTAGAGTGGCTTTTACTGGGGTTTTTTTTTTTGTGTTTTTTTTAACTCAGATTAGCCATAGTAGTTGCTGTAGTAGCTCATGTCTTAACATGCCTGTGCGTATTGTGTTCAATAAAGCGATCGAAAGTCAACGACGGTTGTGTGTATATTGACAACTTGTGAGACCATGACAATACATTGGAAGTAGCAGTGCATGTTTTTTTTTTTTTTGTGAGCGTACCTCATCTGTGGGATCGTAGTACTGCTCCAGATAAGGATGAGCCAGCGCCTCCTCAACACTGATACGCTTGTTGGGGTTAAAGGTCAACATGCGGCCCAGCAGGTCCAAAGCTGTAGTGGGGAAAAACTTACATTAGATCAACCACCAGAAATAAAATAAAAGGCAAAACAAAAAAGAAGGACAAGAAAAAGAGAGAGCGAATGACTTGGATAAAGGAGTACTGTTTGTAGACTGGCTAGCCCACGTCATGAACTTAATGAAATTCCTTTTGACAACCCATCCTCAATGTTCTTGCACTATATTCGTTCAAGGTTCGCCCTCAGGTGCTTTTTGATTTATTACATCAGTCCTGCTCGATTCCTCGCAGGAAGTTGAATTCATGTCACTTTACCTTTTGAGTCGCCCCTGCAGAAAAGCTTCTCCCAGGGAATTTTGGGTTTTTCAGGTAGAGACTGCAGATAGTTTCGGGCTTTCATGTTAATGATGCAGTTCAGATCTTCTTGGGACGGAGAGCCCAGGACACCTACATCGACGAGTTATCAGTAACATTTTTTTATTTCAATGCCTACTTCAGGCACTTTGTGTACAGACACATTTATGAGAGCTCACCCAGAATGTGGTTGAGCTGATCCAGATAATGTTTCCCAGGGAAGATGGGCTTGTTTGATAACATCTCAGCCAGGATGCAGCCCACTGACCAGATGTCAATGGACTTAGAGTAGCCCTGAGGCACACACACAGTCAACAAGTTGACAAGCTACTCCGTCAGACACAAACATGCAAAAAAACACTTGCACACTCACCTTTGAGTTGAGCATGATTTCTGGAGCCCTGTACCAACGCGTGGCCACATACTCGGTCAAGAATCCTGTGTGGTCGTGCTCAGGGTCTGCGATGCGCGCCAGACCAAAGTCACAAATCTTGAGGGGAAAAAATGAATTGTCATTAATCTTCGGATCAATACAATATGTACCTCAAATCTGATTTCACTGATGAGAAGTCGTCAGAATGGCTGAAATCTAACAAGATGAAGCCTGGTCAGGTTCCAGTCATGTTACGACGGTGGCATCAAATAAAAATCTAACATACAGACCAATTACCGGATTAAAAATGTTATTTTTTTTTTTCATTGCATTCACTTGATTGTTAACCGATAATCATCGAAATCGATTATGTAAACGTAAATATTGCACAATAATGTACATATTGAACGAGATTTGTACAATTGCATCATGCAAATGTGATTAGCGCTATTTGTGCTGCAGGACTACGTGTCATTTTTTTTCCTTGCGCATGAGCAAAATACATCCAAAAGCCACTGCAACAGGTGCCGCTTTTGTTCTCCGCTTCCCACATGATCAGCTAATCCGAGGCTTCAAGTTTGCCTCAATGAGAACACAACAAGTGTGCACAACAGACACAGGGAAACCTTTGGCATGGAGCTACAAATGTAAATTTGAAACAACATAATGAAGAAACCTCACGCAAGAGCAGAGCTCGGCAAAGTATGGCCCGGCTACCGCCACAGTCTCTGACAAACCTTCGCAGTGAGCATTAAGTCAAAAATTTAAAAAAGGGGAGCGTTTTTCTTGGGATTTTACAGTATGTACGTGTTACCCGATTGCAAAGAGCTCAATAACATGATGCGGCCGTACCGTATACTGTATGTGCACTTGTGCAGGGTTAGTGAAAGCTGACCTTGAGGTCGCAAGTGGTGTTGATGAGCAGGTTGGAGGGCTTGAGGTCCCGGTGCAACACGTTGGCAGAGTGGATGTACTTGAGTCCTCGCAAGATCTGGTAGAGGAAATAGCAGACGTGGTCGTTGCTCAGCTTTTGGCTCTTGAGCAGCTTGTACAGGTCTGTCTCCATCAGCGTCTGCACGATGTAACTGGCGGTGCACTCGAGTCAAGGGATATCGCGGAGTTGTACGGCATCAACACATACATTATGTAACAGCTCTGTAAAACCGACTCTGGCGTTGTGCCGACCGACAGAACTGTGGGTTGAGGTACACGTTTGGCAAAATCAATCAATAACTGCGCTTGATTCACTTCTGCCGCCAAGAGTGAAGGGCAAGGGGCTTGACTTGTAGTGCGGGATTTCTGAACTTGCTTATCTCATCCTGTAAAATCTTGTCGGTCGTTTGTCAAAAGTACAAACTGTGATTTGATACATTTGATACTCCCTTTCCCTTTTGCTGCGTTGATACGTGCGGTGATAGCACGGGAATATCCGACGGCTCTCAGAAACGCAGAGCAACACAACGACATTGTGAACTATGGAAAGAGTAAGTCTTAAATCATCCAAATGCCAAGTGCCAAGGTGGTTTCATGTTACAAATCAATCAAAAACTAAAAAGTGACGCTGGGCAAAATGGCTTCATTCTTTCGAGCCACACCGAGAAACCCATCAATCCACCCACAGAGAGGATGGACCGCTATCATTTTTAGAGATGTACTGGACTGATTAGTGTACATTTAAATGGATCAGCAGCAAGTTAAGCCTCCTCGTGTGGTGGCTTTCCTCTTTTGTGAGACTGCCGGGGATCTACTGAGCAGCTTTCTGCCTCATCTAAGGGCCTCTATCATTTACGTGAGTTATCACTAGCCTAATCAAACCCAAAAAAGAGGTACAGTACAGCCGAAAACTGTCAAAACTGTTTTGGGGAATAATAAAATGTGAGCAACTGACAAGAAAAACAATGGACTTAAGTGTGTACATGCCCAGGAAGGGTCTGATAAGCGTGTGAGAGGAAAGGATACACGTCCCTCATATTGTCGATGTGGCGAGCCCTTAAGATGTCGTTGATACCGATGATGTTCTCATGGTTGAAACGCAGCAGGATCTTGATCTCCCTCAGTGTGCGCTGGCAGTATGTCTGGTGCTCAAAGGGGCTGATTTTCTTGATGGCTACGCGCTGGTTTGTCATGTGGTCCAGGGCAGAGCTGGATGTGGAGAAGAGAGGCACAAATCAGGGCTCATGTTACACACTGCAGTATTCATACAGGATACCAGCTGATGAAAGGGCGTTGGAGAAGTCTGATCTGCAGAGATGAGCGTGTGACACATCGTTTTACTCGGAATAACTGGAGGTGTATGCTACACCTACACCATTTGGAGTAGGTGAACAAGTAAAGACGTGACCAGGTAGAGCTCATGAAAGAGCTGCATTGTGGATTTAAGAGCCACACGAATGCATACGATTCAAAAGAACGTTCCACTGTTTTTGCAAGTCGAACCTAAAACCTGACGTGGGAGAGTACTCTTGCTCCATGCAGCTGATATGGAAAAAAATTCATGACATTTTTTTCCAAGCATGCGCTAACATTAAAAAAAAAAAGAAAACGCAAGATCTCTGCAGCAGGCTAGCGTGCCAGTATGTGCATGAGAATTCAGAGAAAGCACAGTGAAAATTCTCACACATCATCTGGAGTCGAGTTATGCCTCCAATGAGGATATAAATGCAAGTGAAGCAGAAGAGGATGATTATTTGCGTTCAAAAATAACACAGACTATTGGTCCATTCTAATTGGAGAAAGCAGTAAAGGAAAGCTCAAGGCAGTGAAAACATTTGAAAGACCACTATAATAAATCTGATCATGTTCACTGTAATGCAGATTATTTTATTGCTTGTGTTTGTTAAAAAAAATGAAGCCCTTGAAAAAAATTATCACATATTAGATGGCAATTGCAAAATTGGGGGTCGGGGGTCGCAACTACATTATTTTACTTTCATGTGGAATCATTGAGCCCTAATGATTCCACATGAAAGTTGGTGAGAGGGAAACACATTTTTATGCATATCATTTTTGTCTCCTTTTACAAAGTTAGCAAAACAGACAATGTCTCCAATTGACAGTAAATACAAATTCATTTTGACGTTTGTACTTTTCAGACTCTCTACATTTTCTGTTTTACTTACATAAACACCCGTACTTTGACACAAGTATTTGTGTGAGTGAGAGTACTTTCTCCACAACGCCCGTAAGTGCTGTCAGTCAGCGTGCCTAAAATATCCACAGCGGCAACAGAATCGCAAGATCGCGATGAAACAAACCACAACAGAACTCAATGTCGTCACAGTCCTTCTCCGGGCTGTTTGTATCCTGGAGTGAGGCCAAACGCCCCCCACGTAACTTGTGGCCATGTTCGCAGCTCAGCAATGGCTTGCCACTGCAATCACAGCAATGAGTTGGCAGTGATCTCGTATCGTGCGCAACAGGTTTGCTCAACGTGCCCACACAAGGCTGCAGATCACCAGTAGCGATAACAGGAGAGGCCTCGGTGCGAGTAGCAAATCCCCTTCGCATCCTCTGCAAACCCGTTTTCTGGACAGCCGATTATTTTTAGCGATTAGTCTTTGCCCGGCGACCCATACGATTAAGGTGTCAGTTGCGTATAATCGGTGACCAATTTGCGACTGCGGCTGAAATCGACTTGGAGAAAAATAAAAAAAAAGCTGTGTGCGGAGTAGGACAGCAAACTGCGTCCTGCGCCAAGCTTCTCTATAGCATTTCCTGTAAGGCTCATAGCCACGCCTGTAGCTAGTTTGCTAACCTGCTAACCACACAACAGGCTGATTTAGAACAAACGACGTCCGGATACTAGACATAAGGTGACGTCTACATGAAAACATGGCTGTAGTTCGGTGGGTAACACTCGTTGAACACTGCAACAACAAACTGTCCGATACTGGAAAAACAAGTGGCGGTCTTGTTTGAGACAGTAAGCTAGGGAGAACAAGTAGTGTACTCACCACACCATTCCGTAAGCCCCTTCCCCGATGTAAGACAGGTTGGTGTAGCGGGGGCCCACGTCGAATATCTGGCCCTTCACAGACTCGGACGCGGATTTCTGTCCCGCAGTTCCCGGCGCCCCATCATGCGCAACAGTGCCAGCCGCCCCGGGAGCAGTAGCGCTGTTGGAGGCTGAGGCTGCGGCCCCGACCGCTGCGGTGCTGCTCGAATCCGCCATTCTTCCTCTCCGAGCCGCGCCTGGCTTTGCCTGCTCTGTCAGGGAGTTTTTACCGAGGGACAGGCGTCGCTCTCGGCAAGATGTGACGTCTCAAGTTGAGGCTTTCACAGACTCGAATGTTTGGAGAAAAGAGAAACTGAGTCTCTCGACACCACCCGGAGTGTAAACCGATTGCGTGCGCGAGCTCGGATTTGGTCGGAGCTCGGAGTGTAAATGCGCGTGCTGGGCTACGATGATGCAGTTGCGTTTGATTTGTTCATCCCGTCTACTTAGCCGAGCGGAGTTATGTCCACTTCCCTCATACTTAAGGACCCACCACCTACCTAACTTCATTGTGTGAATAAAACAAGCTTAATCCACGGCATTGAATAGCGCAACCTTGGGTGGGCGTAACCAGTTACGTTGCTGATTTATTCTAAGGAAATAGTTGGATCAAATTGACACATTTATGATTTCATTTTTATCCAGAAAATTTTAAGTATCCACGTGTAACGATAGATAGATAGATAGATAGATAGATAGATAGATAGATAGATAGATAGATAGATAGATAGATAGATAGATAGATAGATAGATAGATAGATAGATAGATAGATAGATAGATAGATAGATAGATAGAGCTCCTGCCAGTCTCATTCCCCAGGTCGCTGGATGATGTATAGACTGTGGTGTGTAAAGAGGAATGCTCGAAGATCCCTCCTTCTGTATTTTCCCATGATCCCATCTTGCGAAACATTATAGGAGAACATCAGGTGATGTATTGGAGGCAAAAGAAGGTTGTACAAAGTATCATCAGAGCTGCTAACTGTGAGTGAGAACTTGACATCCCTCCAAAATTGCTGGAAAGTCGAGAAGAAAACTGGAAAGGGAGGCTTCCAAGGTGCCAGCAGCAACACTGAAGGACCTGTCAAAATTTCTAGCAAGTAAAGGCTATTTAGTATGTGGCAACAGTCTCCTGTCTTCTGTATGTCTTATGGCAAGATGAATCACATGCATTTGAAATATCCCAAAGACATATGGGGAAATGTGGTATGGTTTGCTGAAACCAAGGTTGAATTTTTTTTTAGGCCATAATTCCTATAGGTACATTTGCACACGGCACTTTTCATCACAAAGGAATACCACACCCTTTCGTGACAAAGTGAAGTAACAGTGAAACCAACTTGATTTGGGACTGATGTTTTTTTTTCAGATGGAACTGGGACCATACTCACGGGGGAGGCAATTATGAACATTTTGAAATACCAGTTAATGTTTGCACAAAACCCTTAAGCTTCTGTTAGAAAGCTGAAGAAAAAGAGGAACAATATCTTGCATCATGACAATGACCCAAAGCAAAGTTCAAAATCAACAAAGGAATGGCTGCACCAGAAGAAGCTTAAGATTTTGAAATGGCCCAGAGACAGTGCTGTAATAAAAGCCAAATGTGCTGCAAAAAAACATTAGTTTGAGTGTGTGCATATTTATGCACCCAGGTTGTTGTACATTTTTTCATATGTTATCCCCTCTCAAAATATATAAACATATTTTTAATTGATTAAGTAAGTTCCATATTTGATATCCGAGAAATTCAGCACTTGAACATGGTCGTGTAGACTTTTTAATAGCAATTATAGCTATAGCCATATATAACACTTAATTTTGACAGCCTACATTCATGAAGTAAGCAAAACTTACAATTAAACAAGTCATTTAATCACTTACATCAACCATTAAATGTTTAAATCATCCACACGATGTACAAATTCAGCATTAGATGAATGAAGAACATTTAATAAAACCATAATTACACAAATTATCTCTATAGTTCAATTTTATCTCATTTACCACTTTTAAATAACATCTTTTTTTCAGATAAATTGAACTTTATGGAAACCAGTGCAACTGTGACCGCGCCCCTTGGTTGCGTCGTGACGCAATCAGTGAGTCCACTTCCTGGTCACGTCGCGAACGATACGTACTTGACATGTTGTTTATAGAACACTCACTTATTTCTTGAATCCTTGGTACTAGGAATGCTACGTTTTGTATTGCGACAAAACTGGCTCGTCCCGATTCGTTTAGCGCTCGCCATTTTGGACTTCCCGTATACAGTCAACACTTACGGACTCAGGTTTGGATTCTAGTCATAAATACTTAAAGCTGCTTTGAGTACCGGGAATGGAAACCGTTGCACATAGACTACTAGGCTACTTCTAGGTCATAAATCACGGCTATTACTGGAACAATTTAAGGGCTGTCATTTTTGCTACTGTTACCCTTGCCGTTGTTCAGTTTGTTTTTTTTTTCTTACCTAAACAATGCGTGCAGTTTTGAAGGATCTTATTCCGTAAACTTTAATTCCCGCAGGGCTGCCATCCCCTGCTCTGTTGGCCATCCTTTCAGAGTCAACCCCTCCATCGCCCTCATCAGTTCAAGTTGTTCTAACTACTCCAAGAGGGTCTGCACAATGAGATCTTCAGCACACAATAAGTCCAGATGCCCCGAGTACCCAGCCTCCAAAACCAAGCGCATCCTGGTGAGTGATTCCCAGGTGGACTGGAGTCAGAGCTTCCCAGGATATGATCCAGTCAACTACACTCATCCTTCAGTGGCAAAGAAGCCAGTCTGGGCAGATCCTGAAATTGGGTGAGTATCATATATGTATTTTGAGCAGTGGTGGGCCATGCATTTGGTATCTCGGCCTTCAATGGGGATTTGCTCGACTTAATCCACCTCTTTGTACCACCGCTATTACTGTATAATTATGGAAATCATGAATACACTATACGAACTTGCAGTATAACAACACACAGTTGTGCCGCACACATCATCTGGAGCAGTTCAGAATCAATATTTATCCAAACACCTAAGAAAGACAGGACAATACATACTACTTGCCAATAATGGATAATAGATGAATGTTTGTAGATTGGTGCAGTTGTGCTTGTTAAATTTGGCTTTAACTGTGTCTAATTTTGGTCACATTTGGGGAACTAAAATCGAAATTTATTTTCGCTTGAATTGCAGCTCATTCTCTCCGCAGTTCAATACTTTAGATGGAGCTGTGGACAGAAGAAGCTTTGAGGGCTGCTACAAAGTGGAAGATGGAAAGCCACTGTAAGACTGGACTGGTTGTCACTCGGTTGCAGATGTAATGTGTTTTGTGAGCATTTTATTTTATTTTTTTTTTTTTACACTTTTTTAGAAACCCTAATGGACGCACAGGGCTGACGGGCAGAGGTTTGCTGGGGCGATGGGGGCCCAATCATGCTGCAGATCCTATTGTCACAAGGTAATACATTTTTTTCCATTACTCTACTACCTATACTTAACATACTATTACTCTGTCAAATTTTCAGGTTGCTCCTCTTTTAAATTTAAATCTAACCTTGTGCCCGTTGCAGCTGGGATCAACTGAATGATACATGTTATTGTCTGGCAGATGGAAAGTAGATGCTAAAGGAGAAAAGATTCTTCACCATATCTCCAAAAAGCCCATCCTGCAATTTGTATCCATCAAGAGAAAAGATTGCGGAGAGTGGGCCATTCCAGGCGTGGGTGGCTTTTTCCTCATTTTGTTGTTCACTTTCCTGTCCACATTACTTCTGCCATGATTCTCGAGGATAAAACTCACATCCTGGTGTCTCTCTTGTAGGGGATGGTAGATCCAGGGGAGCAGGTTTCTCTGACGCTTCAGCGAGAGTTTTCAGAAGAAGCATTGAATTCGCTGGGAGTGCCGCCATCAGAGAAATCTAAAATTCATGAGCGCATCACCCAACTTTTCAAATCACCCGGTTTTGAGGTCTGCAACTGACAAACATGTTTTTTTCCAGCATATTTCTCAAAAGAAAAATGTCGATATGAGTTCCAAATGAACATACATTAATGATATACCTGCAAATAAAATAAGCCAAATGAGACTCGTTTTAAGTTTTCCATTGCAGTGAGCTTGGACATGATCACTCTTTAAAAAAAATGTACTCTTTATTTTGTTCTGCAGGTCTTTAAAGGATATGTAGATGACCCAAGAAACACCGATAATGCTTGGATGGAGACCGTTGCGGTCAACTTCCACGATGAAAATGGTACGCATAGTTTGAAAAATGCAGTGTTTTATCATTTCATCACCAATTTAATGGACACTTAAGTACTTTCTAATCGCCACTTTTAGAAAACACGTTTTTCTTTTTCCTTTTGTTTATACGCAGGCAACAGTGTGAGCGAGCTACCGTTGCAAGCTGGCGATGACGCAGGCCAAGTACAGTGGGTTGATGTAGACTCGTCCTTCCCACTCTATGCGAGCCATTCTCATTTACTGGAGCTGGTTGCTAAAGAGAGGAAGTCCCACTGGTAGCCACGGACTGCCATAACAATGTTGGAAACATTTGTGCCATGACATCTTGAAGTATATAGGATAAAAGACTTGATTCCAAAGTATAGATTTCTTAATTGAGAACAAACAACATCACCATTTGTTTGCCTCTCTCCTGTGTGTGTATTACACGCACGCGCCGTGCAGCAACATCTGATCCGGGGGAAGCTTAACATGCGACAAAAGACAAGGCCAACATTATTTCTGTTGCAGAAAATTATGCTAATATATTCATTGTGCACAAGGATCACATTAACCCAATGTGGTCATGTGAGAACAACACAATTAGCTTCATTAATCGAAACGTGATGAGTACAATCACTATGAGCTTTCGCAGGCTGATCTTTACATGGGAACAGAAATGAACGACCACGAAATTTTCATCTTTACCAATGCTATAAGTGACACATAGTATGTGTGTACATATGTACTAAATGTACAGTATATGTGTCCAGATTTTTCATCATTCTCCATCGTTAATCAATGTAGTGTAACCAAGTGATTCATTAATTGTATTAACACGAGTTGCCTTGTATCCCTGTGTTTGCTTTTCTATCTGTGCCTGTGGAAATTAATAAAAAAAAATTTTACAGTGCGTGCTACTGCTAATGTATTTGAAATGAAACACATTTAAAGATAATAGCTGTTTAATTCATTGCACTGTGTGATCTCGGTTATTTTGTTGAACGAGGAAAATCATTCACAAAGAAAATACAGTATATAGATAAAAGACCTGCCGTTTTAATAATCAATAGCAGAAATATGTTTTGTAGTTTGCAGATCATTCCTCCATAACTTATTTGAATGTTTAGGGCGTACATGAAGAATACTCTGGAAAATGAGACCTAGTCAATCTAAATGTTAAAATTTGGTACCCGTGCAGTCTCAGTTTTGTGTCAATACAAACATTTTACGGCTGATGTACAATTTAATGCACGATTTGGCATTTTAAATAATATAAAAATCATGAATTTAATTGACCGTTTCATCAAAGGATAACCCTGTATTGAAGCGATACGATTGCTCAGTTCGTGCAAAAAAATGTTTACATAAAATACATTACCCACAAGCCATTGCGACAAAAGACGCTCAAGTAGACGACGTGGCCTGATTCTTACGTAGTACTCCTGCGTTTCAGCGTAGCTTACCGGGGCGATTCAAACTCTGCATCGAGTCTGCGTGTAGGAATTGCGGCTGCAGATGGTTTATTAAACAATTTCTTAAACGTTCATATTTGTGAGGAACAATGTCTGGAAAAAGTAAAAGCAGAAGTGCAGCAAATGCCGACAGAATATCTGGCGGTGTTAGCTGCGATGAGCGCATTTTGCGGGATTGTCATCAACTGTACACGGAACCCGACAGTGGTGAGTTGGCTGAGTATCGCGTATTCGTGAAAAGTTAGCCGGCGGACACGCTAGCATCGGTCGTCCGTTCCCTAATATTGGGCGCTAACTGTTAGCTAGCTAGTGTCAGCCGCAGTAGTACTTTAGGGATCGTTAATCGTAATTGCTCGCGTTTGGGCCAAAGCGAACTTTGGTTTTATGTTTGTTACCCCAGTTCATAGTCGCTGCAATACCCAATAGAATTATCGATTCTAAAACGATTTGATTGTGACAGCCCGAGGGGGTTCACTTTCATAACTCATATTTATGGTTGTCTTCAGGTTTAATTGCAGTGGCTGAGTCTGTGGGTGTAAAGTTGCTGCCCCCCAGAAAGAAGATCACTGTGATGCTGATGGGCAACCACTCTGCTGGAAAAAGCTCATTCATCAACTGGTATATATATTTTGTGTGTGTATATGCAAGAAAGACAGACGACAATTTTTTTTTTCATTCATCAGTTGACTGCATTTTCACCAAAGTCTTTCAAACTAAATTTGACTCAGGAGTGTGAAGTCATTTACCCATTTTTCGAATTTGTTGAATGAATGATTTTGTCTTTGTCTTTCAGGTATGTTGAAGAGCACATCCAGCGAACTGGTGTTGCTATTGAGACCCAGGGATTCAGTTTTGTTACAAGTGGGCGCAAGAGAGAATCCCTCACAGTAAGATTTCTTTGAAAGTTTTGTGAAAAGCCCCAAATCTGCAAAACCATTTTCGAGTGTGCTTCACTGTGCAACTCTGAGCAATCCGTATAAATACTTACGTTTGAAACATACTTCATATCTACAGACACTCTCTGTGTTGTTTTAGGGAAATGCCACCCTTCATCTATATCCCCACTTCAAGCCTCTGCAAGAGTTCAAAGGTCAGCTTTCCAAGACAGTCTTTGCATGTTCTCGAGATGCACCTCTTCTCAACAGAAAACACAGTCAAATCTATGCATACATTTATGGAAGATAATTAAAATGTTGTCAGAACCAAGTTCTATTATGATAAGACACTAACAAATGTTTATTTATTGCGGTTAGTTTGTTTTGCGGGAAATCTACCCTGCATCACAGTGAGAAGAGTTTGTATTAATTTGATCCTCTTATTTTCTCTTTTACTTTGCCCATCAATACATTCACAGATTTTTAACAGCTATTCTATTGGATCTCGTCAATGTATTTTGTGTACACGATCAAAATAAGACATTTGCATCCGAATTACATTCTCTTATTTTTCACTTTGTCTGCTTTCTAGGTGTCTCAGAGTATATAAGCACAGAAATCTGCACGTCACGGCAGAAACGTTTCAGCCTGGTGACTTTTGTGGATTCGCCTGGGTTGGTAGATGGTGATATGAAATATCCCTTTGATGTGGATGAAATTGTCTTGTGGCTAGGTGGGTCAAGATCTCTTAGCATATCTGTCGTTGTCGTGGAGTGTGATCGAGTAACAGTGTTCCCCGTGTCCCCACTCAGGTGATCTCTGTGACCTGATTCTGGTCTTCTTTGACCCGATGGGTCAGGCTCTGTGCAAACGTACTCTCAACATTGTGGAGGCCTTGAATGACAAACATGGGGATCGGCTGCGTTTCTACCTCAGTAAGGCGGATGAGGCCGGGGGAGAGTCTGACAGACAGGTAGGTGCAAAGTAGATGGGCACGGGCCACCCACTTTACATTCAGCCAAATTGAAATTTTGACGGCGATGTGAGAATTGCTGACATCAGACTAGCTCGGAGGGGGGTCTAGAGCTAAAGTAAAAACATTTTTTTTCACAGTGCCTATTGATTAAAAAAAAAAAGTGCTCCATCTCACTAAATCTTTCATGTTTATTCTGTAGAGAGTAATGATGCAGATTGTCCAGGAGCTCTGCAAACGACCAGGACTTAATAAATGTGGTTTTGACATGCCCACAATCTACATTCCGAATCCAAACAAGGTACATTTTTCGATGGTTGTCCACCTTTGAGCCTTGCATGTGCAGCTAACACCCTGTCCCATCATTTGGAGTGCCTGATGGGTGTTTTGTTGTTTTTGTTTTTAGCCCAGCCGCTGTGTCAACCAGATTGAGGAAGTGTGTCGCACTATTGAGAGGACCATCAATCAGACAGTCCAGAATACGCTCAACTCTCTGGAGAAGGACTGTGACATCATTAGTGAAGCCATCACGGATAAATTGACCAGCGACAGGTATCACACGCAACTAAAAGAAAAATTGTATAAAATCTCCTTTTTTTTCCAAAAACAATCTTGTACGGTATGTGAACACTCACATTATTTTGGCCAAAGAACACGACATTGACCTTCCATCTCAAAGGCAGGTCAGTTCTGAGAACTCGCGGGCGCGCTGCAAGAGCTGCTTTCTAACACTGCTGGGCTTCAGCATCCCCATGGCTCTTTTGGCCGTGCTCTTGCTGGGCACTCTGTCCAAGGAGCTTCTGGAGGTGGCTTTGGGTCGCCAAGGCATCGAAGCCCTCTCCCTTTATCTGGTTAGTGTCCTCCGTATATTAACTGTATTTGTTCTCCTGCTTACTGAGCTCTCCGTTCTGAAGCGGCCACGCTTGTCTCTTTTTGAACCCTCAGGTTCCTGCAGTACGTATGTTTGAATCGATGTCTCGAGAGCAGCAGCTTTACTGCTGCGGTGCCATGGTCCTTGCCTCCTTCCTGCTGCTCATCATAGCGCGATTCTCTTTCAGGTAGTACAATCAAAACTACAATTCGAGTTGTACTTCAGGCTTCTTCAAGTGTCTCTATGAAGGTGTCATTTGGTTATATGGCTACATGTGGATACCCAAGTGAATTGTGCCTTCTGCTATCTCATGCAAGCATTGATTTGCTCTGCCTGTCACTCACGATATGTCGCTGTCATAGATAAATGAACAAAGGTATATCTTGTACACTTTGCAGTAAATCAGTCGTTTTCACACTGTATAAAATGGTGTAGTTGTCCATGGTACACCTGATGATCTTATCTCTTGGGCTTTGCTTTATGTTGACATTTTAGGTGTTGATGGAATTCTTGGTGTTTAACTCTTTGCAGGACTCAACCAACTCTCTCGGGAAAGCAGAAAAGACAATTGCAGGAGAAGTTGGACTTTGTTCAGGAGGTGGCGAAGACCAAAAAGGTAGTGCTTGTGTTTATTTTGTTTTTAATAATACTGGGATAAACGACAGCATCTATATATGCTAAATGTTTTGTACTTTTACCTTGCAGAAAAAGCTGTATGAAGAGTATCTGCGGCAGAGTGTCAGCGATCATGACATGAACTAAAGACACAGATAGACACAACACGGACCAAACGTAAATCAACAAAAAAAAAAAAAAGCACTGCCAGACGGACACTGCAATAACTTTTGATGATAATTCCGTTTAAGGTACACCCACCGAAACCTCCTCATAGACCTTTTTATTGTGACAATACCTCTGTGAAAAACTGAGAAGAGGCAGGTCTCGTCGCGACGAGGCCTTTATCACTTCATATACATTATCGATGGACATTATTTATCTATCTTCTGCTTGACTCAATCATGATGTCAGAATCATACCACTTTAAATATATGACCGTTTGCAAAATAATTATACTTCTTTACCAGAGATACTGAATTTTGGGTAATAATCACACTGCACTGGTTTTGTATAAGTTACTGCTTTTTTTTTTGAACACTTAGCATTTTATAGTGTTTTGTCAGGAGAAATTAAGAATTTTACTTCATGTGTCGACTGTTGAAACAAAAATATTAAGCAAACAACCTTTTTTGCAACTGTTGTTAATTTCAACTTTTCTTTTACTAAAGATGTCAACTGAAAAAAATAAAATGGTCAACTCTGAAAACCTTTCCTTTGTCTTCACAATGTATGTTCAGATCTTTCTTACCTCTCTGCAAGGTGTAAATATTTATTTACACTCATGAACGTGTCTATAAGCTGAAAATGCAAGTGTTGCTTTCAAATTCCAGAGTGTGTTTATATACTTGGAATTAAGAAAAAAAATGTCCAATGTTTTTTTTTAAATGGAAAATTGCAATTTAGGTTTCAGTATATACATAAACTAAAGAAGAATCTGCCATATAATTCACACAGTATATTTTTGATAACGTTTTAACGTTTGTTGAGAATAACTATGTACGGTTATTAAAAACATTATTTTTTACTTATACTTTATTAAAATTACACAACTCAAAATGTAATCAAATGAAAAATGTGATGCCATGACCACGATTGCCAGGTATGTCTTCTTTTATTTTATCCTTCCGTCTGCAAAGTCCTTAGTGTTCAATTTAGGGTTTTTGTCACAGTGCAAATTCCAGGCAGAGAACTAGAGAGCGAGGTGGACACAGGAAGGAGGTTGACGCGATTTCCGCAGGCTGAGACCGGGGAAAGTTGTTTCCTGAAGTTGAAGCTGTACTAGTGATCATTTCCACACTACAGTCGCAGTCGCGGTGTTTGTTAAAATGTCTTGCGCAAGTTCATCGTCCGTATGGTTTTGGCTGTGACATTTTTCTACCGATGGAGTTGTCTGATGACAGGATGAGCTCAATGAGAGAAGACACAGGTACAAATCAACAAAAATACTGCTTGGGATGTGTGACATGTAAGCGGGGTGGATGTGAATCGATTGTTTCAAGAACAAACGAACTTCTCACTCCACTGTTTTGAAACCTGTTGAAGCTGCAACTAACCTGATAATGTTAGCACTCGGCGTCATTAGCTTACTTTACTGCACTCCACTTTTCGCAACTGGTGTGTGAGCTTGGTCGATCATCTTACTTCTTCGACATGATCGCGATCGGAAATTGGTCCCGTAGTAATCGTAAAAAATATACCGTACATCAGTTCTGCTACCGATGGAACACGCTGCCTTTTATGACGTCATAGATCGTAAGGTTAGTCGCTAGCTTCGTTAGCCTGTCGACTTTCAGTTCTGAGCTGTAATATGACCATATCGTTGCTCATGTTCTTTCTTTAAGATACACGTCGAGATGTGTTTTAATTTCGCAGTAATATGACAACTGCTACTAATACTAGCCAATACTAGGAATCGTATATAACAGCTGTGACTGCGGAAAATCTTTATGTAATTGCAGTAATGCAGGAACATGCAAATCGTCAACGGTTAGGAAAGACCTGATTATTGTAATTATGTTGGGCTGAATCAATCTTTTTTATTTTTATTTTTTTTTACTTTTTAATCAGCAGACGACGGAAAGTGCAAAACACAAACAATCCACTACAACCAGTCAAGTTGATAGATCAGCAGGAAACCAAAGCTTTGTCTGCATAAGTTTCCTCCAGACCATAACAGAACGAAAACATGTGGCTTTGCAGCTGATAAACAGAAATTATTTTTGATGAATGACCGGTTTGTATAATGGTTGGACACATAGGTTATTCATGTTGATCTGTGTTTTTTGTGTTCTGGTACAAATCTCAAATTTTAACAATATTTAATTTTCGCCCCCCGAAAAATGAACAAAACACAAAAATAAAATGAATGATTTTTGTGCATTTTCATCCATTCTCAATCACTTGGTTCATCAGCTTGTCCTCCCGTCTGGAGAGTCAGACACACAGTTTAATTTCCCCGTTTAAAAAGGATACATTAAGTTACGTTACTCAATAGCTTTTTTTATTTGAACCATTTGGGTCTCTTCAACCCATGAAATCATTCTTGCTTGTCTTCCTTGATTCCATCCTGTCTGACATTAACTATTACAAAACATCAACACCTGTTTGTCATTTTATAGAAGCCCTCCTTCAAGCCCAGCTGACGGAGTGTCGAGCGCAGGTTGAACACTGGCAGGGTGTGGCGACCATCTGTGAACTGAGCAAACGGGAGGAACTGGCAGAGCTGCAAAAACAATGTGATCAAGAGATCCAGTCCCTTCAGGAGGCTCTCAGGGGTCAGTGCATGTTTACTTGTGATAAGCAGTGCATAGTACACACAGCCCAGTTCTCTGACACGGAAACAACTGTGCCTAAATGATATGTTTAAGCCTAATATGTGCATCACAATTGCTTGAGGCACGTGGGCTTAACAAAAGTTTGAGAATTGTTTAGCACAGTTCCCTGTGTCTCGCTCAAAGCCAGCCAGGATAGGCTCCAGTCCACCCTCGACCCTGATGTGGACCAGCTTTGTAGAAAATGGATGGATAAGATTTTTGTTCCTTATATGATAGGGGTCTGGAGCCCAGTGGGTCCATGAAACAAAAACGGTAATAAAGGTAGAAAGAAGCACAAGCACTAAGATCAGCCCATTGTAGACAAAGCCCCCCCTTGTGGAAAAAGTCGTTTTATCATTATTTCATGATGTCTTTACAGAGACGGCAGCGCAATATGAGTCCAGGATAGCCGCCCTACTTGAGGGGAGGAGAGCAAGTAGCCAGAATCAGGTTCGTGTGTCATTATTTATTTACTCTGTAATTTTCAGGTTGATCAGATTCAATGCTACAATTTGTTCTTCCTCATCCAATAGGGGAGTGGAAAGAAGGGCAAAATGGATGCAGAGGCCGCCAGCAATGATTGCCAGACTTCACCAGACAGGTCGCGCTGCCAACCAGTCGACGGGGAACTTTCACCGGAGGGAGAAGCCCTGCCGCTTAATACCGAAGGATATTTTTCACTGCGGAACTGTGACTCGGACTCATTGTCCTCGTTCTCCATTGACACACCCTCCCTCCCAAGAAAGCTCCACGCTCAGGAAGACACGGACTCTTTGGTCTCAACGGGAACTCTGGTGCCGGAAGCCATCTACCTGCCACCAGCAGGCCACCGGCTGGTCACCCATAGCGACTGGGATGCACTCAATGCTCAGGTGGGGTTTTATATCCCTTCATTGTATTAAAACAAGTACTCTGCATGACCGTGCTGTGTACATTGTATGGGGAAAAAAAAACATTATCCACATCCCAAACTAAAACTTACATTAATCGATAAATCCCAGGTTGAACAAGACCAGCTTGCCAGTCACAGGGCACATAATGGAGTAGCAAACATTGACGCCCACATTAACGCCTATTGACATTTTACACCCATCAATTACCCTAACGTGCGTGCTTTTGGAATGTGGGTGGAAGTGGGATTACCTGAAGGGTTTTTAGTTTGAAGTTTCAAATCCGATGCTGTATGTTGGACAGTTGTCAGAGTTGAGAGGGGAGGTGAGTCAACTCTTGGAAGCAAAGGAGGAACTGGAGAAAGAATTGGACATACAGACCAATCACACACACAAACAGGTAGAACGTAAACCGCCAGACGTACGACACATGCATAATCGGGATGCTGTGCAAATGGACCGATGCCGTTTCTGTTTATGTTCAGGTATCATTGCTCCAGTCTCAGGTGCAGTCCTCAGAGGCGCTTCTTCAGGAATTACAGAACTCCCTCAGCCAGTCACAAACTACACTCCAGAGTCGACTGGTGAGTGATGATATTGATCTGATTCTGGCCGTGTATCGCTCATTCTCCATTTTTCACAAATTTTGGTTCTTCACAACTTCTACATTTGGCGTTGGCATCTTGTATATGTTCTCAAGTGCACGTGTGTGATGTTTGTGTGTGAATCCAGTCCGAGCTGTCACTGTCCCAGAGAAAGGTCTGCTCTGAGCTATCCAGACTGAAAGGAGAGACGGTTGAGGATGAGGTAACAGGCTCCACCTCAGCGCTTCCAGCGTCACGGCAGGTGCCGTATTGCTGTTTACAAAAAAAGTGCCGCAGATACATTTGCTAACATTTCATCACGCGATTGAAATGCATAAAGGGAGAGAACAAATTGAAATATAACCAAGTGCAATGGAACCTCAAAAGGGGCCCCTAAGCGCCCCATAAGTGGCAATGTTTGGAGTTTCGAGGAAATGTGTCTCAGGAGTCAAAAGTCTGTGACGTCATGCGAGGGGACCTCGATAATAATCAAGATGCAGACTAGCATCTCTCCAACAATGAGTGTCTTCTGCGGAAGTGGAATATAATGTTGCATAGGAAAGTTTCTGGCTTCTCCGTAATCCAGTATATGAGCAATAGACCTCATTAAATATCGCAAGGCTTAATTGCAGCAATGCGTAACAATGAAAACTCCACTAGATGACACTATTGCTGTACAAACACCTTCTTGTTTTCAAAGGGTGAGTTACTGTACTTTATTTTTCGTTGTATTGTACAGTGGTTAGCTTCTCTTTTCTCTTGTGTCGGCGTAAACTATGTTTGCCTCTTCAGCTAGTTAATGTTTTTTGTGACGATGGCAGTTTGAGCCTTGAACATATGAATTCACTTCCCTTCCCACTGATAAACATTTTTTTTGAAATTATTGTTGCCTCATGTTCATATAATTTTGATGGTAAACCATTAATTGTACAGTAAACCACTTGACACCACAATTAATTGTCAATGGTGTGGGAGTTGACTTTTGTGCTCTTGTCTGGCCAGCAGGCGGCGCACTGTGAGGAGCGCCTCCGTATTGAGATTGTCAACCTGAGGGAGCAGCTTGACATCCGAGCAGAGGAGAATGGTCTGTAATAGGATTACTATCTTTTTTTTGTGAGTGTGGTTTGTGGTTATTATATACTTGACTGATATATTTTCAATTCTTTCTCTTTTTTTTTTTTTTACCGGCTCACCTTGGAACCACTTCAGAAGTTCTCGAAGGTGAGCATATGAAGCACACATCGGATTTATTTCAAATAGAATTTTTTTTTCTTGAACTATACTGTACAAACTAAAGAGTAAGTGACAAAATTACCTCCGTGCTTCCCTCTCAGTGCTTTATAAAATGAAATATATTCCCCTATTAGATCATCTGAAAGTGCACTTACAAACGGAACGTTATCAGTGTGATTTTTGCTTGCTTTCCACAGTGCAATTTTCCAGTTTAAAAACAGAGACAGAAAGGATTCAGGCCCAGAAGGACCAGTTTCACCACGAGCTGTTGGCCTGCCGCACTGAGCTCGAGGCCCTGCGGGTGGCGCTCTCTCATGTGCAGGGCAACAACAAAGGGCTGGATAGTGAGAATGTGAGTCAGCCTCTAACTAAACCTTTGTGCTCAAGAGAAGCAATGGACCCATCCAATTAGACCATGGGGAGTTTTAACATGACCCCGGTCTGGCTTGCAGGAGGCCTTACATCAGCAATGTCTGGAACTGCGCAGCCAAGTGATCAGCATGCGCTCTCAGGTCGACACCAGCCAGACTGTACAGAGAGACTTTGTTGAGCTCTCTCAGTCACTGCAGGTGAGAAGCGGAGCTGCGATGGGCAACTTAAATGATGGAAGTGGCCGCAATTTTGAGGAAATAGGACCGCACACTTCCGAACCAAATGCACGACACAAATATAAGAGCAAAAGATGTGCATACATCTGTTTTTTTTTTTTTAATGAACCAATGTACAGAGGACTGTCTTTACACATTTGAATACCCAAATGCTTATAAAGTGATCTTCTCCACTACAGAGGCTTTGAAACAAACAACCCGCCCCCCACCTTATTCTTGTTTTCCCAGCACAAAGGGCTTTTTGCATAAAAATTCCCACTCAAAGTTGTCACAAAACAGCAAACCAACAGAGAGCGCAAGAATTCATTATGCGCATGATTTCACAAAAATCAACTCACTCAGAGGTTTTAATTTTATACCACCGTATGTTTGTCCTGCCTGTTTTTTAAAATGGCCAAATGAATCGGCTGGCTCACCCGCCGGTATGAACAGTGCCACCATATGCATTTGTAACACTATCAAGGTTTGGTGGACACGCATTTCGTAAGTTATTTGTCATCAAAACAACACACTGTGTTGGGCAATCACTGCACTAGAGTCATTTTGATCTTAAAATGAGTGCTATGTGTGACACTGCTCTCGCACTCCCCTTAGGTGAAACTGGAGTTAATAAGGCAGGCGGAGTCCTTTGAACAAGTCAGGGAGATCCTGGAGGAAGGAATCAGCAAAGACGATTCCTCGCCTGCGGATGCTTCCTGAGTCTGCTGCTGCAGGCGGAAAGCCGAGACCAAGCTAAACGATGGACCAATGACCCTCAAGTAAGAACGGCAATGTGGGACAGACACCGTTTTGAAACGACCAAGAGAAAGACTCCTGTTGCTGTTCACACGTGACATTTAGTGACCGGAGTGAAAACGCGGTCTCGAACCAAACCGTGTCACCGGAAGAGTGGGAACACTGTATTTTATATCGTTGCTGTCCCGTGAAAAACACACATGTCCGTTTTTGTCATATATATATATATATATATATATATATATATATATATA